CCATTGTTCATGGCACTGGGGATTTGGAAGCCAAGTTTAAAACACTAACGAGGATTTGAAATTGCTTCTCACAGATCATTAGATATTCATAGCAATGAGGCAGTAACAATAGCGAATTAAGTTGTTCAATGAGGCGAATGCGTAACGAAGGAAGGAATTAAAGACGTTGTTGTTGGAGTATTTGTTCGCCTTCGAAGGAAGCATGGCATCTAGTTACAAAAAGAGGAGATTTCGAGATCCTCAAAGCGTGGAAAGAAGCATTGACAACGTGCGAAATGCTATTCCACAAACAACGCGTTATAAAAATCGTTGGGGAGTTCGTATATTTGAAGATTGGCAAAGTGGGCGAGAAAATAAAGCAGTCATGTGTGAGAGCAATCCTTTCAGCTTAGATTTGCAGAATTTGCAAAATTTGGAGACAGAATTGTGTTCAATGACGGCAAGAACGTTAAACTTCTGGCTTATCAAATTTGTTCAAGAAGTTTGCGACAAGGATGGCAAGCCATGGCCATATCCCGGGCGTACAGTATACCAAATTATATGCTCGTTGAAACGACATCTAGACAAAAATGGCCGGGCTGAAGCTAACATGTTAAATGCTAACAATCACTGGTCGGTTGAATTCGTTCATTTTTAATTAATGGTTTAGTTTAATTTATTGTAATATCAGCATGTTTATTACTCACTTTCCAGACGTTCAGAAGAGTGCTGGATAGTGAAATGAAAGCCACCCACCGGGAAGGCGAATCGCGTACAAGACGAGAGAAAGAAGCTATTACAGATGATGAAGAAGGTTTGCTGTGGTCAAAAGGCTTACTGGGAGACAAAACTGCTCAAAGTTTGGTTTACACAATTTATTTCTATATCCACCCTCGAAGCCTATGGAAGACGAAAAGTTTCAAATTTCCGACGAGGAACTTGATAAGTTTTTGAGTGAAGTGGACTGGTCTAAAATTGATGAAGAGGTGCAGCGACGTACTATCGCAGAAAAGTTTGTTTTGTCGAACAGTACATTCACTAACTGTTCCTTTAACATTCCGTTTGCCGGAAATAAGTAATACTAAGTCAATTGTATGTGTGTTATTGTTAGTGTGATTAAAAAAGCAACATATTTTGTTGTTTGAAGTGTGTTTTAATGTTTTTGTGTACTTAGAAGTTATTTCTAAATACAGCTTACTGTATTTAGAAATAATTCTAAACATAGCAATTAAATATATTTGCATAATCTTTTGTTTACCCCTCAATTTCCCTATTGTTCAAAGCCCTTCCCACTGGAAGTAATTAAAGTCCTGGTCTAGACGGGGTATCCAGATAGATACACGTGATGTAAATTACACCATGTCATTGGCCGAAATGCTATGAATATCTAATGATGTGTGAGAAAATCATTTACAATACTTTATATCGCTGTGTCGGGCTGCATGTGTACCGTGGATCCAAATAGTTGAAAAACAAGGTATTCCGATACTTTCACAAATCCGAAACCTTTTGCTCTAGTGTAAACGTAGTCTTAATTTCATTTTTGGTCCAATGTTTTTCTGATATTTTAGAGAAAGGCCAGTTTGACTGGGGGATATTGATTCACGGGAGGGGGGTACAAAGGGGGCCTGAAGGGGGTCCCCCCAGCTTATATCTTAAAAAAGGCCTTGGTATAGGCGCCTTTATGAATTTGCAGATTTGCACATTAACCCAGTATTCATATTTAAAACACTACAAAGAAAATTATTTTATGACGTAAATATGAGAAATGATAGTCATTTTTGAATATTCATAAAAGGCATTTTTAGTCTTTTTTGGAGATGGAATTTTCGAAAGCCAATTTTTTTCAATTATAGACATGTTTAGATCTGACCAGGAGCAGTGGCTGCTTCCGCTAGTTACGTCTAAAAATGGATATAAATTTGCATTAAAAAATTTAATCTTCAAAAAAGCCATCAATACTATTCTATCGAACGAGATATCCAGAAATTTCGATATTAGGCCACTCCAAATTAGACTTTAGTTTCCCGTCCGGCCCTTATTTCAAATTACACGCGGGCGGGCGGTCCATTTCCATTATCCATTATGGTGTCTGAAAGATGAAACACGGCCCATTATCAGTTCATGAAATAGATACTCGTTTTAAATATCCATTCAGCCGCGTTTCTACGCAATGTTTTAGAGTTTTTGTATGCAGAAATGAAAGTCAGGATATTAACCTTATCAGTTTTGACGTTCAAAAATCAGAACTTGTAACGGAAGTGTGTAGCTCAGCAGTTTGTAGTGAAAACGAACAAAAACTCACGCTCTTTGATAAAAGTTTCAAGAATTTTATTTCGATTTTTACGTGTTGTATCATAAATAAGTATTTCTTGAACGATAGATTATTTGAAAACTGTGGTTTTTCGTACTTGTTTGTAACAAAAGTCAAATAATGGAAACAACTTCGCAATAATGGACAAATCATGCGGCCAGTTCTAGGAGACGCGGGCGGAGGACGGGAAACTAAAGTCTAATTTGGAGTGGCCTTATTGAATCTTAGACCATGATCACATCCACCCAGGGAATCAGAACTCAGCCTTTTGGTGGTCTATATCCCATAAACTGTCTCGCATAGCGACCTTTATATATAACTCATTAGTTTTCTCTATAACAGGGTCCCCAAAAAACCAAAAGCATTGAAATTAACGCATTGTTTTGAATTCCCTTTGAATTTGAATGCAAAGATTCGTAAAGGCTATAAAGAAATTAAAATATCTTTGTAAAGCACACGATTTTCTGCTCTTGGGAATTTAAAACAGCTTCGTAAACGGTTTCTTTATGTATAAAATTTACTGAAGTCAAGCTTTGATGCACGTGTGGGTTCAACAGAGTGCTGATAGCATTGCACACAAATTCTAACAATGCGTTAATTTCAATGCTTTTGGTATTTTTGGGACACCCTATAGAGCATACTAATGAGCATTCAACAAAAGATAAACAAAACAAAGTCTTTGCAGTGTGTATAAAAAACCTGAATTTAACCCTTTCAAATTCAAATTAGCTATAACGTATTGTAGTAATTTGACAGCTGTAATTGCTTTGAAATAATAATGGTTGCATGGGTATAAGAACACAAGGTCTTGTACTCATGGGACAAAGTCGAAGAAATAAAAATTAAAACATTTAAAAGAAATACACAATACCTTTTTATTTTACAAGTACAGTACAACAACTGTAATATGATCTGTTAGCAATTCGATTTCAATTCCCAGGGGCCTAAAATCTCTGTTGGCATTATACTTGAGAATTGCAAAGTGGATTTCTTGGGAAATTCCGAGGTTACATTTTTTTATACACGTACCCTATACAGGGTGTATCAAAAAAAACTGAACAGATTTGAAATTGCTCTCAATTTCGCAAAACACCTATTTGTATCTGTTTTTTATATATATAGCTTCTTTGGGTACTTATAATGTAAAATAATGAAAAAAAATTCTCGAACTCAAATTTTGTGAACCAGGGGTGTGTGTCTTTTCCAACAAATTAAAAATGGCTCGCGCACAAAATTTAAAAGCTGTAATCATATTTTGAGTTGATAGATTGAAAATTTGTCGGGTTTTTAATTACTGTACAAAATTTCAGACAATTTGGTTT